CCTCGGGGTTACAAGTGGACAATAAGCTGAATATGACCCAGCAGCGTGCCCTTGATGCCAAGAAGGCTAATGGCATATTGGGCTGCATTGGTAGGTGTGTTAGTAGATCAAGGAAAGTGATTAGTCTCCTGTCTTGAGCACTTTTGAGGCCACATATGGAGTACTGTGTTCAGTTTTGGGCCCCCCACTACAGGCAGGATGTTGACAAGTTGGAGAGAGTCCAGCAGAGATCAACAAAAAATGTTCTTAGTGGTGGCAGATGACAGAACAAAGAGCAGTGGTCTCAAGTTGCAGCAAGGGTGGTTTAACTTGAATATTAGGAAGAAGTCTGGGTTCATACTGCCCATAACATGAGATAAGTGGGACCACCTGCAAAGTCCCAGAACAGAGTGGGGCTTGAGTCCTGGTTTTGGGAAAACAGACCAAATTAGGAGAAGGCCCAGAAGGCTATGTGGATGTGTGACCACAGAAAGACAACCAGCCAGAGATAGCCAAGGATGAAGAGTCATCAGGAGGGAAGGAGAATACGAAAGCAGAGACTTGAGAAAAACAAAGTGTTCCTCACTGTCCCTCCCTGTTCCTTCTCATCCTTCCCTGTCTCTCATCTCTCCCATCCCTCCCCATCCTTTGCCCCACCCCAGTTCCCTGGGAAGGGTCCCCAAGACCACCATGCAGAGAGGGCATACGACCAATCCATCTCATACACCTCAGTCAAGGTAGGACATAGGCCTTGGCATCCCACCTCCAGACTACTGATGTGCAGAAACCTAAGAGAGAGCCTCAGCGTGAAGACTGCATCCTGACCAGATGTACTTTGATTCTGAAGACAGCCTCAGGATTTGGTAGATATATAGAATTGCTTAATTGTTTGTATTGCTGCTTTTCTGTTATCACTGTGTATCAATACATTTGCCTATTATCAAATGAAAAGGTAGTGGTCAGTATGAGAGTGGGTCCCCGGGTGGGTCCTTGGGTGGGTCACCCCCCCCCCCAAAAAAAAACAAGGTCTCTGAGTCCTAAGTCCAGAGCCAACATATATTAATAATAATATATGTATCTATTGATTGTCAAACCCTGCTGTCCCCATTCAGTCTCCTTTCAACTTTTGATAGAGTTTCCATTGAATGGGGAACTACACAATTTGGTGAGTAAATTAATCTTTTAAGTAAAAGTACAAGAAACATAAGTGAACTTGAGCTACTAATGGAAATGATAATGCAAAAAAGAGTCTGTGCAAATGGTTCTATTACAGTCAATGTAATCTCTGACTTGTAACTAACACTGTCTTATTAGAGATTCAGTAGACAGGCATAGTTATATTCTGTCTGCAAACTAGGGGATGTCTGATTAAAGTTGCAAAGGAAAGAAGGCACAACAGAGATGCTGCCGTATCAAATTCTTTATCATAGACCAATTTATTGTGTATGACTATTTATGGTCTTTTTTGCTGATAAACATTTCAAGCTCAGACATTGAACAAAGGTTGAAATTCCCCTTAAACAGACTGTCTTGTAAGTAAGATCTCCTTTAACTTAATGGGATTGCTTTGATTTTCACCTATGAGACTACAAAGTAAATCAGACTCGTTATTGACTACAAGAAAACCCTCAAGTGGTAAAAGCAACCTATAATACCTGTGAAGTATATGAAAGGGTATAGTTCAAAGCCTCCTATTTTATTAGGCAATCAAAATGAAAATGCTTTTTGTAATGATTTTGCTGTTTACTAGGAAGAAAGTGCTTTCATGTTTTCTTTGTGATGAGCCAGCCTCAAAAAATTTTTAATTTAGAATTGGCTTAACTAAGCATTTGGAAGTGAGATTCCTAGTTCAAACGTGAAATTCCCAAATGGTGTGGAGACATGTAGCACTTAAACCAGTTTAAATGCAGTTTAAACCTGAAGCAGACAGATGAGGTGAGGGCAAATGTAACAGTTAGGACATTCTAAATACACTTTAAACCCTGAGTGTGTAGATGTCCAGGCCACTTTAGACCATTTTAAACTTCCTGAAACATTTCAAAAGCTGGTCACTCCTACAAGCATCCCACAATGCACTGCTCCTCACCCTGCCAAACCCATGCAGGGCAATGGGGCTGCTCTGGGATGCAACCAGCACTCTACTGCCCAAAGATCTATTGCCTATAGAGACCACAGGGATGGGGAAACAGAAAGCCTGTGTGTTAGTTTCACTTCCCTGAGTGAAATTTCCTGGCTTATTTGGGGTGTTGCGGGGAAGGGGGTAGCCAGGTTCGGGGGGGAGGGTCTTCATGGCCCTCTGCTTGTGGTGGGTGGATGGTTGTGTCTTCAACAGTAAACACCTGTGACTTGCTGGGTGCTGCAGGGACTGGTGTGGGGGGTGGGTGTTGGAGACTGAGCCATTTCATGTTGGGCATTTTATAAAACAAAATGGGCACCAGGGTCAGGCCTGGGCTCTGGGAAGTGGGGGAAGCTGTCCTACCTCCCTGCACCCCAGTTGGCCAACGGGGGCATGGGGCTGGGAACCCGGTGCTCAGGGGAAGGGACAGTCCCCCTGCCCCATGCTGCTTGGACTGACTAGCAGCAATTTACTAATCTAGATTAGCCTACTGTGCAGTAAAGTGTTTTATGTAAATGTGCCCAGTGTGAAGTAAATTAACCCATTTACGCTTAAGCTCAGACCATCACGCATTCAAGGAGTCAGTGCCTGGAGTTTCTCCAGGATTCCCTAGAGGGCAATAAAGACCTGCATTGGGCCAGTAAATTGAAGCAGATGGGTTGCTAGGTGCTGGGGGGAGGGATTTTGCTGTTTATGGTTCCCAGGGGGCTGGATGCTGTGGGGCCCCAGTAATCAGTCCCCATCTTTACTAGCCCTGGACCTGGCCCATCTTTTCAATGTCACTTCCCTGCTCTGGTTCATTCTAGCAGCAATACAATCCCTGAACTGCGAGGGTTCTACTGAGCAGTATGCATGTGGACTCTCTCCAACTTGTCAACATCCTGCCTGTAGTGGGGGATGCATGTGGACACTTCTGTCCAGAGAAAATTGTGAACCAGTTCCCAATCAGTGACAGGTAAACACACTGTAGAGTTCAGTCAAATGCAGGCTACTGAATTTTATTTAATTCATATTTAGGACAGGAGAGAAAGCAAATTCACAGCCACAGGTCATCCACCCCCTAACAAAAAAGTGTCATTATCAGTACAGAAAGAAACATAATGAGCATTGACGTGAACTGCTACATTTGTGTAAACATAACTTAGTTAATAAAATTTCGAAGCCATTCTGTGAGTACCAGTGCATTAGAACAAGTTTATATTGTAGGCTGGGTCCCTAGAAAGTACTTCACTTTCACACTTCAGAAGTCTTACTGCCACTGATGCTGTACGGAGCCGTGGAAGATAATCTTCTCCACAGAAAAAAGGTCAGAATGTAAAACTTTTACTTTCCATTTTCTAAGAGAAATCCATAATTTTAACTGGTGAAATATGATGGGAAGTGTTGTTTATTTATCTGGTTTCTATGGGCATTATTACTTTCCTGCATCTTCAGGGTTGCTTTGTTTATGATTTTTATGTTCGTAAAATATAAAGCTTATCTTTTTTAAAGTCTTTCAACTGAGGACATTGTACTCCATTTGAAAAATGACAAATCTCAAATGGCTTAAATAAATTTGCATTGATATACTAGCCACACAAGCAAGATGCTAGAATGGGGCATTTAGTCTACTTTGCTACTTTGCTACATCAGCATAGTTTTGAACATACTAGTGATGCTTAGATACCATGATGATATGGATAACATAAATGCCTACAACTGTACATTAATAGGATAGTTACTCTTTCCCTAAGAATCTGATTCATTATCCAGTGCAGACTATATAAATGTAACAAAGTGAGTATGAAATTGTAATGAAAACCATATGACTGTGTACAGTATTTGAAAAAGGTGAGGGTTTTTTTTTACTGTATTGGCGCAGGAACACCTGATTTCTATGATAAAGTCTGATTCTGTAAAAACATTTTATGCTGTAAAATAAAGATGTACATCTAACTTCACTAGATGTTTCTCAAAAATATTTCAGTACTACTCTGAAAAAAGTAAAAGATAGTTGAATTTTTAATAAATCTTTAGAGTAGTATTACACTTTGTAATTTCATTTCTAATAAAAAAGGAAAACAGATCTTACCAGGCAAAAAAAGTTAATAAGAGAATTATCAGGAACCTCTGTTCATGTTTGTATTTTAAAAGGCATACTATTTATTTTAATGACTGTGATCCTTTTTTAATCACTACAATGTTTCATTCCTTCAGATGAGATTATCCATTGTTTTGGGAATTTCAGCAACAATGGCCTGTACAGCTGTTTTATTTTCTGTGTTTTACAAAGACAAAAATCTGATCATCGGTAAGTAACAATTAAAAAATACTTTTTAAAACCTTAACGTTATAATATTTGTGACACTGAAAAGTTTCTGGCAGCACCTGCCAGGTTTGAATATAAAAGGGACTTTAACTTAAAACAGAATATTTAAGATTTGTAATATATGTCCATGTACTTTTTCCTTTAAAAAATAAATAAAATGTGTATAATTTCATACAAAATCATTTTGCCACTGTGCTCTGTCTGATAGTCCTATGTATCCTGTGACTATGAGGAGTTCAATTACCCTGATACATAGCTTTTTCATGCCCAGCTATGCACATATGTCTAGATGCTGACCCCGCTGGCTGGAGCCCAAATGTGCTTCGGTGCATGGGCTGCCTGCTGACTAGCCCTGCACTGAAGCACCCTCATACCTCAGCCAGCCCATCCACAGCACAAGATGAGCCCAGTTAGAGTAGCCCCAGGATGGCAAGATGACCCCTGGACCCCTCTGCCAGCTGTAGCTGCTTTGACCCAGCTCAATGTACTGAAGTCCAGGTGTAAATGGTGCTCCTGGGAATTTCCTAGGAGCAATAAATTCTGGAGCAATAAGCTCTGGAGATTAGTTTGCTGCACTTTAATAGCATGCTTATATACACCCTGAATGAATATTTTACCTTTCTGGTATCATAACTTGTGGTGATATATTTTATTAGAACAATTAGATATCTGCAAAAAAAATTCTTACCTTACTGGTTGCATTCACAAGTCTCACACAGTGTTTCTAGATATAATTCTTTGACTTTATTCTTAGAAGCACAATTGTGAAATTTAGGTTGCTCAAGACTTCAGTGCTACTTAATTAAAAGACAGTATAATCTAACTCAGCCTGATTTGTTGACCCCTGGATGGAGAAAAATTGTAACCTAAATTTAACTAAGATCTAAATTATAGTCTGGGTTAGACAGTATAAAATACTGAGGTTTGTCTTTCTTTTTATTCTGTTATTTTACTACTGTAGGTGAGAATCAGTATTTGAAATTATCTTAAAAACTGTTGTACTTCAAAGTGATAAAGTAGATCTAAACTGGAAAAAATAGGAAAAGTCTTTGTTTTTGCTAGACCACATCTGCCCAATTCAGAGATTGAATATGTTCCTTATGTATTCTGGCAGGTGCTGTATTGTAAATTAAAAGGGAGATTGTGAGTCAGGGAATGGCTAAGAAAACTTCAGACTAGTGCAATTACATGACCAAAAATAAATGGTCACATCCAATATGGTACCTCTGTTCATGCCTGTGTTTTAAAAGGTATAGGAGTCTAAGAGTGAGGTTGTAGTTGTGACAGTCCATCATTTAGATTTTTCTAAATATATATTTTTTGGTTTCATGATTGTAAAAAAATGTATTTAAGCTCCCAGTATAGTTTAACAGATTTTCATTGGTGAAAAGCAGCTACTTCCAGCAAAAGTTTGCATGGAAAAAGAAACCTGTCTTCTTACAGAGGAAAAAAGGAAGACTGCAGGTCAAAATTCAGCTACATCTGGGATGTGTCTACACATCAATTTAAGCGGGTTTAAATTTAATGTGCATTAAGCTAATGCTCATTAAGTGTTTTTTTGGCAGGTGTCTACATGTGGTGGGATGTAGGACTAATTTTAGTCCCAGGTCAGTGCAGCCCTGCCATTAGGGCTATGCAAAGCTTCAGTCACCAATTTGATTCAGGGGAGATTCTGCCCAATTCAGCAGCTGAATCTCCAAATCCAAATCGAATCCGGAGACTTGTTAAAAGGTCCAAATCAAATCTGAAGCCTCCAAACTGATTCCAATAAGATTCAGAGAGATTTGAAGATTTGGATTCAGCAGGCAGAGGCGGGCACAGCCAGGCAGCTGCAGGTTCTCCTGCAACTCCTCTGACCGTGCCTGTCTTTCTCTGAGTGGGGGGGTGGGGCTGCAGGAGAAGCCCCCATGGCTGCCCTGCACAGCCCCATCCCCCACCCAGCCCCAGCTTAGTCCCAGCACTTAAAAAAAAGCCCCATACTCACCGGCTGCAGGAGGGGCTGTGGGGGTTCTAGGGCTTCCTGACAGAGCCCACCCACACAGCTCCCACTCCCTGATCACCCCCCACCCCCGCCCAGCCCCAGTAGTCAAGGAATAAAAAAATCAAAAAACCCCACACTCACAGGTGGTAGCAGTGGCTGTGGGAGCTCTGGGTTCATGATCTTCCC